CGGGCTCCTCCCATAACCCCTAGCAGCCCCTCACCTTTCTCCATGGCCCCGCCCATGTCCCTGCCCCCTCCCCAGACCCTAGACTCACTAAATGGCGGAGTCCAGCAGGTGAAACTCGCGCCTGCGCTCATAGCAGGCCCGGATGCCCTCGTCCTGCCACAGACTCTGCATGGCTACTGCGTAGCGCTTCTCAAACGTGGTTACCTTGTAAGGGTCCTGGCTCATGACCAGGCTGGCGTGGTGCTGGGGAGGGAAGCACAAGGAAGGTTAGATGCCCTGCAGGGAGGCGCCCCCAGACCCCTACAAGCTTCTCCCTCTCTGCCTGCCTTTCCCTCTGGGAGCCTCTTTCCGCTGTTCCACCACCCCCAGTGCATGCCTTGACCCACAGAGGGACTAGTGAACTCCTATTCATCCTTCAACACCCCAACACCAATCCCTCTCCTCTTTTCCTGGAGTCTGATTGCTTTAACGGGAGCCCCAGAGGTCTGCTGTTGTCCAGCGAGGCAAGGCTGGCTGGCAACAGCAGGATGGAAATGTACCGAGCACCTAGGTCCTGGTCATCCCTTACGTGGACCGGCTCTTCTGAGGTGAGTTACCAGCGTTGTCCCCATTTTGAGGGACAGAGCAAAGAAGCCGTTTGCCTGGTGTGGGTCCCGCGGTCAGCCACCCCAGGCCCTGGGCCCGGCAGGGACTCCTCCACAGCCCCCAGGCCTCCCACCACACTGTGTCACAGTGAGCCCTGTGACCTTGGTCTTTTTTTTTTTTTTTGGTATGGGGGATTGAACTCACAGCCTCGCGCTTGCCAGGGAGGGCTGCTGAGCCACATCTCCGGCCCTTTCTGTTTTCTAACTTTGAGGCGGGCCCAGGCTGGGTTCAAACTTGCCATGCTCCTGCCTCAGCCTCCCGAATGCTGGGGCGACAGGTGTGAGCTGGCTGTGGCAAATCAAGGCGTCCTGTAAGCCCTGTAAACCCCAGCTGCCCGGGAGGTGCCTCGAGGGCCTGGTGCAGAGCGCATTAACACCCGGCCGCCCTACAGGTTTCCGCTCCGGATGGCTCCAGGACTAGCAGTGCCCGGAGGCCCGACCCGCCGGGCTCACCCTGCTCTCCGGCCTGCCGAAGGGGATCTGCAGCCGCTCCATGGCCTCGATCATGGCCTGCATGCACACGAAGATGTTCTGGTAGACGAGCGGCCGGAAGCCCTTGCGGTCCTCCTCCGAGTAGCCGGCGCCGTGGATGATCCGCATCTGCTTGATGAAGGTGCTCTTGCCGCTCTCGCCGGGCCCTGCGACCAGGACGGCCCGCTCAGCCTCCGCCCGGCGGGGGACGGCACCCCTGACTCCCAAAGCGGGCTCCGGCCAGCCCGGCCAGGGCTCCCCCGGGACACTGACGCTGCTGCCCCTGCCTCAGTTTCCCCAAGTGGACCTGGGGAGCGGCAACAGGCGGTGGCCCAGAATCGCTGCGTCTGCAACCCACAGCCCTGCCGGCCTGGCCGCGGCCTAGATCTCAGGGCCAGCGCCCGCCTCGCGTTTCCTGTGATCTGTGCAGTCCTAGGACCTCCCCCGCCATGGTTACCGTTCTTGGCATTTCAGAAATTGCAAAAAAAAAAAAAAATTTTAAAGTCACTATCTGGGCTGGGGATTTAGCTCAGTGGCATAAGCGCCTGCATTGCAAGCAGGCAGTCGTGAGTTCGATCCCTGGTACCGATAAAAACGAAAAAAAACAAAAAAAAAAAGTCACCATGTAATCCCAGCCTTACGGGAGGCTGAGGCAGGAGGATCCAAAGTTGCAACCCAATCTGGGCAGTTTGGCAACTCAGTGAGTCCCTGTCGCAACTTAAAAAGATAAAAGGGCTTGGGACAGAGGTCGGTGGAAGGCTTTGTTCCACCCCCACGCTGCATAAAACGGGGTGCACACCCCCAGCCTCATATCTGAAAGTCCCCAAGACGGGCCATTGGTGTCTCACATTGCAGAACTTACTGTGTTTCAGGGGGAGCACACATCAGGGTCACCAACCAGGGGTTCCCTGCTGGGTTTGGGCGCCTCGGCCACTTGGGGTGGCAGGGCTTCCCCTGAGCTTGGATCAGAGCTCAGGGTTGATTTAGTTTTTTGAGGCACGATCTTAATATTAGTCCTGGCTGGCCTTGAATTCCCAGAGATGCTCCTGCCTCAGCTTCCTGAATGCTGAGATTATGGATGTGCACCACGATGCCCTGCGTGTTTATTTAGTTTCTGCATTTTTTTCTAAGAGTCCAAGGGGCTCCACCTTGCCTGAGCTTGGAGGTGAGAGGAACGGGACTCCTGTTTTCTGGCTCTTTGGCAAGTGGAGAAACTGAGTCTCAGACTGGTAGAGGGGCCCATGTGTGGTGACCCACGCCTGTCATCCCAGCACTCAGGAGGCAGAGGCAGGACAATCACTGCAAGTCGGAGACCAGCTCAGACAGGACTGGGTTGAGTCCCAGCTTCGTGACTCTGGGGGATCCCCTTTGCCAGCTTGGTTTTTGAGACAGCATCTCACTGTGTAGACCAGGCTGGACTCGAATCCAGCATCCTCCTGCCTCAGCCTCCCCGAGTGCTGGGATGACAGGTGTGAACCATTGTGCCCATCCCTTCCAGAAATTTTGATTTTTTTCCAACATCATTAACTATAATCTTTCTCCTAGAGTGATGCTTGGAAGTTTCCCTTCCCCCGCCCAGATCAGTGTAATCATCATCATCATCATCATCATCATCACAGTGCAAAGAGCTGAGCTGTTAGCATCTCTCCGGCTGCCAGCCAAGAGGCTGAGCAGGTTTTTGTGATTTTGCTATTTCTTTTTTTTTTTTTTTTTTTGGTCTTTTTCATTTTTATCGGTACCAGGGATCGAACTCACGACTGCCTGCTTGCAAGGCAGGCGCTTATGCCGCTGAGCTAAATCCCCAGCCCCGATTTTGCTATTTCTAAGGGAGACACAGGGATCAGAGAGATCAGGGGACCTGCCTGAGTCACACAGCTAGGGGAGGACCCCAGAATAATCCAGATCCCGAAATGCACTTCCCTGCAGGGGGAGGGGGCGGCATCGACAATGTGTCAGTGAGTGTGACATCTCTGTGGACGCTGGACATGAGACAAGGTCCCCGGGCCGGGGGCGGAGGGCTCTGGGCGCAGCACCGCACAGAGGGCTCCGCCGACAGCCAGCCCGGAACCCGGGACTCCGCCTTCCCCATCAGGCTGGGAATCTGAGCCCGGGCTCGCCCTGAAAGGCTGGGGGAAGCAGAAGTCTGATCGCCATGGTAACTTGTGTTTGTTTGTTTCACTGCTCTGATTTTCTTTCTCTTCTGTTTCATTAAACACAAAAACAAACCTGGGTATGGCTTGGTCAGAGGCCTGTAACCCCAGCACGCGGGAGGCTGAGGCAGGAGGATCCTTCCCAGGTCAAGGCCAGTTTGAACTTCAAAGCAAGATTCTGTCTCGAAAAACCAAAATCGCCACCAGAATTGTGTCTTTGAAGGCTGCCAGTTTCCTAAATCTGCACTGGACTCGGGGTGTAAGTGGGGGGCACGGTCTGCTTCGGGAGACCCGCAGAAGGCCAGGCTGGGCACCGTGGAAGAGCCTTTCCACCTGGCGGGCGAGCAGCCCAGACGGGAAGTGGCTGCTTCTCCCTGGACCCGGAGGAGGAACTGGGCCCGGGAGGTGCCAGGAAGGAGCAGGTTCGCCACCCCCAGCCCGGGTCCTCACGGGGTCCCAGCAGCTTGTCTGCCCCAGGGACCAGGGCCGCTGGGGACACACAGGACCGGGCCTGGGGCTGCTGGGCTGGGTCCACCTCTGGTTCAGACTCTGCAAACCCCATAAAATCCTGGCGCTTCCCTGGGCCTCAGTTTCCCCATCTGTGGCTGGGTGACGGTGGCTTTTCTCTCCCAGACACGGAGGAGCGGGGCAGCCCAGAGTCGGCGCTGTGTGACATCCAGAACTTGCTGTGTGTCTCTGGGGTGCACAGAGAGCCCACCCCGCCGGGCTGGGGACAGGGCTGGCCGCTCCCCGACTTCCTCCTGACCACCTCCCCTACAGCATGACCTCATGCTCGGGCCCAGCGTCCCCCCTCCCCAGGGCTCCCCGCCCCAGGGACCGCTTCCTCAAAGAGGCTCGGCCGCGGCCTCCAGGGAGACGCAGAGAGCCTGGGGTCCATTCCTGTTCCTGCACGGAGGGGGTGGGCCCTGGTGGCCCCGGTGGCCCCCTGGCAGAGGTGCTTCCTGGTTCGGGCTAGGATGGCCCGGCTCAGGGAGTTCCCCCGCAGCGGGAAGGTGCAGATGGGCCGTCCACGTGGCCGTCCATGTTAAGGCCGCTTTTCCAGAACCAGAAAAGATGGCACCTCCCATTTTCTCATTTGGACCCAGGGTCTCCCTAAGTTTGAACCTGCCATCCTCCTGCCTCAGCCTCCCTGAGGACTGGAGTGACAGCTGGGCGCCATGCTGGGCACCTGCTCTCCCACAGCCTCACGGTGCTGGCTGACAAACAGCACCGAGGGGGAGCGAGGACTTCTCCGGGGAGGTGGCCCAGGGCTGGGGCCAGCACGTGGCTCGAAAGGGCCACCCTGCCAGGGCTGTCCCGGGAGGCAGAGCTGGGGCCAGGGCAGGGCCGCACTGTCTAACGGCAGACCCTCAAACAGAACCCCGAGCCGCTGGGTCAGCAAAGGGCCAGCAGCGGACACCAAGAATGAAGGTGCAAGCAGGCGTGGTGCACGCCTGTGACCCCAGCACTCGGGAGGCTGAGGCAGGAGGCTCTCGGGAGTTCTAGGCCAGCCTGGGCTGCACAGAGAGACCCCGTCTCAAAAAAAAAAAAAAAAAAAAAAAAAAAAAGAAAAGAAAAGAAAAAAAAAGAAAAGAAAGAAAGGATTGTGTTGCTGTGTCCCGAGGAGCTACTCAGTAAATCTTTTTTGTTTTTTGAGGCAGGGTCTCCCTATGCAGTTCGGGCTGGCCTTGAGCTCACTTTAAAGCCCAGACTGGTTTCGAATTCACAAAGATCCTCCTGCCTCAGCCTCCAGAGCGCTGCGGTCACAGGCGTGCGCCATTACGCTACTCAATACATCTTAAACCAATGAATGAATGGGTCCTGTCACTCCATGATCTTGGCCCCGACAAACCCAGACAAGCCCTGCCTGGCGGTGGCAGGGAATCCCGCGGCCGGGGGGAGCCGGGCGCCTTCCTCCCTGCAGACGGAGGCAGAGGCTGGAGCGGCCCCTCCCTGGGGCTGGCCGGCCGGCTGGGCAGGTTGTGCACCCAGCCAGCACCTAATGCCCTTTCCATGACACAGGCACAGGGGATACTGGGCCTGCCTGGCAGCGAACCCCAAAATTGCCTGGGTCCCCAACAGGGAGCCCAGGAGGCCGCCAGCTCACAGCTCCCCTGAAGAACTCGGCTTCCTGGCCTCAGTGTTCTCATCTGGAAAATGGGCCTCCAGCATGGTTCCCCCCCGCCCGGGGTCCCCCTCACCCAGCAGCAGCAGCTTGAGCTCCCCGCGGTCCTGCCTCTTCTGCTCCAGCAGGATCCGGTTGATCTCCTGGTCGATCCTGGCCGCCGTCTTCTCCTCCTCCGTCAGGCACCAGGGGCAGCAGGACCAGGCCAGCGAGCGCGACATGGTGGGGGCGCCTCACAAGGCTCCGGGGGGCATGGCCCCGGCCCCCCGCTGCGCACGGCACCCCCAGCCCGGCCAGGGGCCCCCAAAGACGGTGCCGCCCGCCCAGGGCACCGGGAGCGGCTGGGCTCGGCGCGGCCTCGGTGCTGGGAGCAGGGCGGGGACGCGGAGGGCGGAGGCGGAGGTGCCCGCCCAGCCCGAGCTGCCCGCCCGGCCCGACGGGCGCCGCCAGGTACCGGGTTCCGAGGGGCCGCCGAGCGCGGGAAGGCACCCGAGAAACCCAGGCGGCAGCGGGGACCGCGGTGGCCACCGCGCCTCCTTCCTCATTCTGGAGAAGGGTGGCCCCCCGCCCCGCCCCGCCGGGCTGCTGACCCCGCCCCGGCTGCCACCCCTCCCCGTGGCCAATTAGGAGCTGACATCACGTCTCTGCTGAGGACTGGGGCAGGTCATCCCGGCCCCTCGGAAAGCTGAGGCAGGAGGATTGCAAGTTTCAACCCGGTGACTGTCGCAAAATGAAAATAAAAAACAGGGCTGGGCTGGAGCTCAGTGCAAAGGCCCTGGGGTCAGCGTTGGGGGGGCGCGGCACACGGAGACAACGGAGGCCACGCAGTGCACACCTGCTCACGTGGATCTGTGGCTGCTCCTACCACTTCCCACTGGACAGATAAGGAAACTGATGCACGAGTGACAGCGTGGCTTCCTGGGGACTGTCCCAGTGCAATGACAGGGCTGGGAACTCACCTATCACCTCCATGGGGACTGGAAGTTACTTGCAGAAGAGGGTCGGGATACAGCTCAACCGCATAAGCGCTGGCCTGACAAGCTCAAGGTCCTGAGTTCGAATCTTGCAGCCAAAAAATAAATAAATGTGCAGAGGGCATATTTAGGGAGGCCTCACCACTCCCCTCAGCACACACTGATGGGGCGCCAGCTGTGTACTGGATGTGGGTCTGGGCACCCCTGACACAGTGGGGGAGAGCGACAGAGCCTGCCCAGGGAGAGAGACAAAAAAAACCTCTGGAAACAGTCAGAGCCGGTTGAGACGGCACCGGGATGCATGTCTGTCATCCCAGCATTCAGGAGGCTGAGGCAGGAGGGCCTCTGAGTTCCAGGCCTGCCCGGGCTACAGAGTGAGTTTAAATTCAGCCTAAACTATACAATGAGATTTTATCCCCCATCCCCCCAAAAGTGGGGCCCCTCCCGGACAAAATGACATTGAGGGGTTCAGAGGAGGAGTCAGGCCAGACAGTCCCTTTGGGCATAAAAAATTGGGAATTGAATTTGGAGATCAGAGAGGCTTTTCCAAAGCAGGCCAAGAGACCACCCTGCCTCGGCCCCCTGGACCCAGGGAACTAGCAGGGCCAGGGCCTGGAGAGTCTGCGGGCGGCCCTGCCCGGGGAAGGAGGCTGGGTCCCCGCCTCTGTCTCCCCAGCAGGCGGGGCACAGCAGGCCCGGGGGCGCCCCGGGGTGGGGTGGGGGTGGGGCCCAGAGAGGGTGCGCGGGAGCCGGGAGGCCACACAGCCGCGGGCAGCAACGGTCCGCCGCCCCGCCCGCCGGCTGGCGAGGAGGAGCGGGCTGCGGTTTTCTGACTGTTGGGTCTCTGCAAATGGCAGATGGGGCGCGCGATAGGGGCCCCGCGGGGTCACCAGGGCCGCAGAGCGCTGCCCTCCCCGCCTGCCCTCCGCCCCAGCCGGATGCACCGGGAGGCCCCGGAGGGTCCGGGGCGGGCACCAGCACCCCGGGCTGGGGGGGGTGCTGAGCCGCAGACAGGGCCCCCCCCCGGGCCCTGGGACCCCCCGGCAGCTCCCCGGTGCAGGCCCCCGCCTCACCCCAGGACCATCCGTGGCTCCCACCGGCCTGGCCCAGCGCCCTCCCTCCGGCCCTGCAGGGTGCCCACTTCTCCAGGGCGAAGTTGAAACAAGCCACTTCCTGTCCGCGCTCCCTCCGGGGCCGCCCCGGATAATTTGGCGCCGATTATGAGTTCATTGGGGAGGCAAGCGCCGGCATGTGAGTGTCTGAAATATTAAAGGAAAAACCCAGCCAAGTCAGCCGGGCACATGAGTCACGGCCGTCACCCGGGGACGAGGAAGCCGAGCAGGGGCAGGAGCCCAGGGTGCCACGCTGTCTCCAAATAAAGCTTAAAAAGGGCTGGAGTGGCTGGACCCCGACCTCAGCCTGCTGGGCCTGTCTGTTGATTTACTGCTGTGGTCTGAACCCAGGGCCACACCCCTGGCCCTGTAGGAAAATCGTGTTTGTGGTCTTTTTGAGGCAGGGTCTCGCTGTGTAGTCCAGGCTGGCCTTGAGCTCACTGTGCAGCCCAGGCTGGTCTCGAACTTGCAGGGATCCTCCTGCCTCAGCCTCCCGAGTGCTGGGAACACAGGCCTGCCCACCACCCCCAGCTCCTGTTGAAAATTTTGACACAGGTTTCTCTAAATGAACACGTTGGCCCAGGCTGGACTTTTCAATTTCCTCTCTTCTTGCCTCATCCTAATTTTTTAGATTTACCTGGTACCAGCCCAGCATTCCGGAGGCTGAGGCAGGGGGATCGCTGTCAGTTCGGGGCCAGTCTGAGCTACATAGTGAGTTTAAGACCAGTATCAAAGACAGAGTGAGACCCTGCCTCCAGAAAAGCAAGAGAAAAGCAAGCCAATTTAAAATTTACGTAGCGCCTTACTCGCTTTTTGTGTATGTGCAACATTTTAGGGATTTTCTAAAATGTAAGCATGGATGGAAATTGGCCTGAGAACCAAGTTCAGAGGAGAGCTGCGTTACCCCCCCCCCCCGCCCTCGGCAGGTTACCGCTTCCTCAGCCCTCCTCCCCCACCCCTGCCAGCCCCCCTGCCGTGGTTGCTGTGGTTTTTATCTGTATGATCTCTGGGGGGGGGGGCAGGGATTGAACTCAAGACCCGGCGCTTGCCAGGCAGGCGCTTATGCCACCGAGCTAAATCCCCAGCCCTGGTTTTTCTTTTTTGAGAATGTGGCACCCATGAAACTGTCCCAAATGCACCTGGGTGACCCTGGCTTCCCTGACCTAGCCACGGGTTTCTCCCTGCGTTGCTGCGTGTGTCGGAAACTCACTCCTTTTGGTGGCTGAATAATATTCCTCTGAATGAATGCGCTGCGTTCTTTATCAATGACCTGTCTTTACCTCGTCTCAGCGCTGGGACAAAATACTCAGCACCCACAGCTGTGGGGAGCAGAGGTTTAGGGAACTCGCAGTTTCCATGGTTTCAAAGCTGCCTGGTGCCAGGGTAGAGATACACTTGCTCCCCACCTCCCACGTAGGGACAGCCGCAGAACAGAGAGAAGGGAGGGGTTAGATCTCACCTAGTGCCCGCCCCATCCAGGCCACGCCTCCATCCAGGCCACGCCCCTCGAGGCCACGCCCCGGTCAGGCCAGGCCACGCCTCCTAAGGACACACTGGGTTTCTAAACCATAATATTCTGTGCCTGGTTCCCAAAAGCCAAATGCATTTAGTGCATCTCTCTGACACAAGTACATTTCTTAGAGAAAGTTATGAAATATCCACATAGCTTTCCTTGAGAAATTAAAAAAATAAAACCGAATAGAAGAAAATAATAAAGATCAGAAAACGCGAGCCCTTATCCGACTGCCAGCGTCCGTTTTCATAAAGACTGACATGTTGATTCCCACGTTTCTGTAAAAATAGAAAAGACTCCGAAGAGTCTGAACCACTCTGACAGAGGAACGGAATTAGGGCTCCAGCCCTCCCCAGGCCCGTGACTTATCACCAAGCGGCACCAATCAGGACAAAACGGAACCGATATCAAGATACACAAACCCAAAACAAAAAAGACACACAAACCCCCGAGGTGCCCAGAGGAAGTCCCAAAATGGACACCCACCTAACAGACAGCCGATTTCTGGCAAAAGCACTCCAGTGGGGGCAGGATTCTACCCTCAATAAATATCCCGGACAACTGGGTTTCCACATGCAAAGACCTCCAGCCTTACAGCACATCCCAAATTCCTTAAGACACACAGTGGGTTAAAGTGAAGGCGGGCGGCCTGAGTCATTGCTGGGCTGAAGTCATTTTCTCTGGGACAAAATACATGTTTTTTCCTTGTCATGCTAATGAAACAGTACGATGTTTATACATGCGTGACGTATTTATCTCACAGATAAGTATGTTCTCAAGTTGCATCCATTTAGTTATAAAAATGTGCCTTTTATCATTCTTTATAGCTGAATAGTATTCCGTGATGTAGAAATACCACATCTTTTTTATCCATTCCTCAGTCGATGGGCATCTAGGTTGTTTCCCAGATCTGGCTATTACAAACTGTGCTGCTGTAAACATGGGTGCACATATGTCACTGTGGTGTGAAGTGTTTAATTCTCTTGGGAAGACATACAGAAGGGGAATAGCTGGGTTGAATGGACCTCTAATCCTACTTTTTGAGGAATCTCCACACTGATTTCCACCGTGGCTGCAGTCTGCACTCCGGCCAGCAGTGGAGAAGGCTCCTTTCCCCCCACAGCCCCACCAGTATTTGCTATTGGTTGATTTCTTAATAACAGCCATTCTTTCCATAGCCCGGGCTGGTCTCGAACTCACAACCATCCTCCTGCCTCAGCCTCCCGAGTGCTGGGATGACAGGCGTGAGCCACCACGCCCGGCTATTGCCTTTTTTTTTTGTAATGCCCATCTTTTCAGTTACTGAGCTCTCTTCAGCTCAGACTTTATAGATGATTCCCTCCTGGCAACAGCCACATTTGTTGCATTATTGAGCTCTGCTCTTTTGCTCCTGATTCCTACTGAAAATCTGAAGACAGCTGCCGGGGGACCCACGCCAGAGCCTGAATGTTGGGCTGCTTTGAAATTTGCTGCACCGGATTATCAATGGAGTCCTTGCTCCCAGCTGAAACCTTCCCAGCCTGGCCTTTTCTGTTTGCATTTCTGTCAGTATTCTGGCCTCCCGAGCCCGACCCGAATCTCCCAGTAAGCTCGGTCCTATGGTTCCTGGGAAAAAAGCCTTTTGCCTGCCCGGCAACACCATGAACTCTTTTGCTCCCCGAGGCCCCTCCGCCATGCCACCCTCCCCGGGAGCCAGATGACGACAGTCTGCACCCTCCACAAACTGAACTGAAACAAATCCTCTCTCCTTTAACTCTGGGCTTTGGGTCTTTGGCCTTAGGAATACAAAAGAGGAAACAAGACGCTCAGCTTCCAGCATTCTCAGGCTGCTTTTCCAGCTGGCGTCTCTAAACCTTTCCAAACTCCTCCAGGGGCCAGTTCCGAGGACCTCTGAGTCAGATGGCCACAGCAATGGCCGCTGCTGGACATTCTCTGGAACCAAAATCTGTCTCAGTCGCTCTG